TGGGCTAATTAACATACTCTGATGTTAATTAAATAACCCCAAATGCGTTCTACATGAACAACATAACACTGGACCAAATTGTTGACAAATTTCCCAAACCAGTTGATGTTTTCTCTCTAGGTGTCAACCGGTTTACACAAACCGATTGATGTAAAGTTTCCAAGTGTCAACCGGTTTACCCAAACCGGTTAATGTAAAGTTTCCAAGTGTCAACCGGTTTACACAAACCGGTTGATGTAAAATTACCAAGTGTCAACCGGTTTAGACAAACCGGTTGATGTAAAATTTCAGATGTCAATTGGTTTCTCTAAATCGGTTGACATCTAGCCTATAAATGTCAACATGAAGTCTCGCAGTCTATCTCTTCTTCGACTCTAATGACTCTGTTCTCCTCCGTTAAGGTTACTAATGGTACAGTTTTACGTCCCAATCAACCCTAAACATTATTTTGGTTCTTTATACATAATTTAAGCAAGTTAAAATCGTAAAACATGCAATAAACTTTAAACATAAATCAAACATATACACATAGAATTAACATACTGCAATTCAAGTTTTAACATGTATACATGGTTGATTTTAATAACTTAAATTTCCTGGAGTTTCCCTAGGCATGCACGGAACACAGATTAAAGGGAAAGAGTAGAACAGAGACTTGCCTTGAGTTTCAGTTTTGAAACTCTAATCCACCGTCTCTGAATTTTCCGACAAAATCCCCTACTGATGTTCCACCTCTATTGCTCTTGGTTTCACCTACGAGCAACCTCTCCTTCCTCCTCCTTGGTCCAACCTAGCCTTCCTCTCCTATCTCTCTCTGTTTCTCTCTGTATCTCACTGTCTCTCTGTTTTACAGAAATTACAGTTTAAGTTATCTCCAACCCTAAACCACAGTAATGTCATATTTATATGCTCAGAATAATAAACCCTAATCCCTATATAACTAGAGAATCTAACTAAAACTCTAGTCGGCCCAACCATGAAACCTAAAACCCTACATCCTCCTCTTAACTTATTTATATAACTAAATTACCAACTTAAATCCATTAGTGTAATTAATACCCATAAGTAAAAAAACAATCATTTAAAACATTTATTCAATAATTCAAATAATTAAAACCACAATTCAATATTCAGATAATTAACCACTATTCAATAATTCAGATAATTAAAACAATAATTCAATAATTCAAATAATTAAAATAATAATTCAATAAGTAAACAAATAACCATTTAAACAAGCACATAAATAAAAATGCAATAAAAGATAAAAAATTAAAATGCCGAGACTATCCTTTTAAAATTAGGGGTATTACAGGCCGTCACGCTATCCGAACTTGAGAAGTGGACATCGAGTCCAAGGGCTGAAAATCCCTAATCACACTTGGCCAGTGGGGTACGGAAGTGCACCATTCGTTTAATCATATAAGATATCCGGCATTATATCACATTGCATCATAGAGTCACATACGTGAGTTACATTATAACGGAGTCTGTGTGTGTTGAGTTATAGTCCTTGGAGTGGTATAAACTTTGTTATCCTACTAGTTTTGTGGTAGTTGTTCTTGCAAGTATATTACTATTGCTTGATTTTGCATTTTATTTCAAGTTGACAATCCTAAGTAGTTGTAACTTATTGTTGGCATTGGTGTTTCTAATATTGTTTACTTGCATTACTTGTTGTGGATTGCTTTTAAAATGTTTCAAAGTTAGCTTTAGGATGATCCATTAGCTTTCTCTTGGAACTAGACGCTAGGAGGCATGATCCACATGTGTTTGGTTTATATTACACTTGCAAAAACCATTGAAACTTTAGGGTATACGCAGAAATCATCCTACTGAGTAACTCGTTTACTCACCCTTGTTGATATTTATTTTTCAGGAAAGGAAACTCTCTTTTTTGATGCACAATATCCCTAGCTTGGCTTGAGTTTTATTTGGATATCTTTTGTGTATTTTGACATGCAAATGTTGGCATGATATAGCTCTTTTGAAGTTGTAAATGTATAACTTATTTAGAAGCATGCCTTACTTCCTTTTGGTTGTATAATATGTACTTAAGTACCCTATTTTCATGCTACTTTATCTTATATGTAATGAGGCCAAGGGCCAAAAACTTTTAATGTATGGAATGTATGTCATTTTATAATATGTTTTTATCTCTTTGACGTAGTCTAATCCTGTGGGCATTTTGATAAATTTTCATTGCATTTCATATTTGGTTTGGACCATGGTTGATTAGATAACTCATTTTTTGGAGGGGTTGCTTCACAAACTTTTTCCAAAAAGCCCTGTTTTAGCCCTAAAAATCAAGCATTTTTGACAAATAACTACTCGTAGCCAAATGTTTTTTCTTCTTGACATACCTTGCACTCATGGGCATTTTGGTCATTTTACGTTACATTTTATTCTTTGTTTGGACCATGGTTGATCAGAGGACTCATTTATTGGGGTTGGGGGGGGGGGGGGGGGGGGGGGGGGGCTTTCTTCACAAACCTTTTCCAAAAAGTCCCGTTTTAGCCTTAAAAGTCATATGTTTTCGAGAGAAAAAAACTACTTGCAACCAAATCAATCGTACCAGGCACATTCTGGCAATTTTTTTTGTTAAATTTCAGAAATTCATATCTTATTCGTTTTAACTCAAAATCAAGTGATTTTTGAGTCAAAGTTTATTAATTTCTCGTTATCTATCCAATGGTATACACGATAGCATCCATTTTATTTGAAATGACCATTTTACCCCCAGTAGGATCTTTGACCGTTTTAAACCATAACTTCTGCATTTGCTTCTTTTTGAGTCTCGTGATCTCTTAGGAGGTCACTTAGCCATCTTAGAGGTGGTGTCCAACTCTAGAAACCTTTTCTATTTTGTTGCTTCCATGTTTCAGACTCGTTATTGGGTTAGTTTTCGGGTTACTCACTGACGCACCGGGTTCTTTAAAATTTGGACCGTCACAAGTGGTATCAGAACTTGAGGTTCGAAAACCTTAGGACAATGGGTTTTGGGTTTGTTTCATGCTTCTTGTTGACATGATTTGATGTGTTCACATGTTTATGTGTTTATATACTTACGTGTTTAAAAGCATCTCTTATGTGACACATATGCCATTGTATCTTGCTATGTGTTTTATTTTATGCATATTGGTCCACACAGGTAGCTTCAGTGCATTCCTCAACATAAGACACATCCTCTTGGTGTCAAGGTGTGGAAGTATGCAGCTTTCTTTATCGGTCTCCCGCTTGGCTATGCTCTGCTTTGTCAGCATCGCCATTGCCTTTGGCACATACGGTAGGGATATCCAAGTGTTGCATAATTGTCGCATTTTTTTGGACTAGTTGATTTATTCATTGACTAAGGTTATGAATATGTTGTTCCAACACTGCGATACGTTCCCCGTCGTTTGGAATACGCTTAGGCGCATTCTCATAACGAGAAGAATGCATCGACCAATCTTTCCTGGCATGGGATTGGGTATCGCGTTAACGGTGTCTCCCACGATAGAATTGGCTATGGCGACTGCTATCATGGCGTGACGGTTAACCTCAGTCATGGTATGACTGGTGACTATCGTCTGAGTGGTGATCACTATCATGGTGTGATTGGTGACCACCGTCATGGTGTAACTGGTGATTTCCATCGTGGTGTGATTAGTCACCACCATCCGACTGGTGGTCGCCATGGTATAATTAGTGTCCACCATCTGACTGGTTACTGCCATCATGGTGTGACTGGCGACCACTATCTAACTGCTGACCTCCCCCATGGTGCTTGAGTTCCAAATCGCAACTCGAGAACCATTGCAAAAGTTTCCACATATAGTGCCAACTATTATTGTAAGATTTCGTGACCCGAAATGACTTCGTACTTTAAAAAGAATGAGAAATGTGATCGAATGGCACATTGTGGTACCGGCCTAAGAGCCTCAGACGATCAAGTCAGTGCTAGATTAGGAGGGTGGAAAGAAGGTGAAAGGACTTTCTTAGGGATTTGTGTCATACCTTTTGAGTTGCCCGACCTCTCCTTTTATAGGAGAGTTAATGGTAGTATTTACCTAGATAACTACTTCTCTTGACTTTTTCATCATGTATTGAAAGTTATCAGAAAGAATAATCATCTTTATCTTTACCACTTGCAGTTTATTCAACCTCTTAGACTACATGTCGCTTGGACTTCCTAGCCGGTAGAATATTCCGTATCAAAAACTAAAAAAAAATTAAAATCAACTTATTTATAATATTTATCTATGTTGAATTAGTCCATAATATTGTTCTCCATGAATAATGGAGAAATTCCATAAAATATCATCTGTCAAGGATATATATATATATATCAATTAGAAGTGGTATATTGAGCATTTGTAAGGATAATTTTGTCAAAAATAATTAATTAATGTGCCATGTATTTAAAAGAAAAAAGTGGGACATCGGTCAGTCAAAGGGGGTAATTGCAACTCTTTATAAATAAGGGCAAATTACACCGACACTCCTTCAGGTTAGGTCAAATCTCACATAAATGGATATTTTGGTTTAATTTGCACTCACATTCTGAAGAGTTGATTTGTATTTCACTTACATCCCAAATGTTACTTTTCAGGGCTGTTAGATTGTTTTTTACATGGAAAATGACTATGCTACCCTTTGACTTGTTGTTGACTTGAAAAAATTATATTTTATTTATAAAATGACAAAATTACCCCTAAGACTCATTTTAAATTACAAAAATGTCCATTAAAATTCCTATTATGATGTCCAATTAGGCTATCCACTTTTTCATGGTTATTGATTGGAGTACTAAATTTTTAGTAATCTGATGTCCAAAAATTTCTCCATGAAAGCACACTTATCACCATCTGATTAAAAATCACAATTATTGATCAGTTTGTTATGAAAATCATTCCAAATCATGTGAAGTTACAAAAAACCGTTCTTCAATTTTTTAGTCTACTTGGAACTTGTTTTATAAAAACTATTTTTACAAAATTGAGTTGGTTGAGTATCAGTTTTATGAGAACAAGAAGATGTTGTTTTGGGAGTTTCTAAAACAAAGTGAAAACACGGAGAAATATGCGGAGAACACTGTTCTCCACTTAAAAAAAGGAAGCGGCATCTTTTAACCCTATCTCGGACATAATAGCCTTTTATGCCTCCTCCTCTAAAACGGCTCTGCAACACCTCTCTTCTCTCCAGGGCATCTCGTTCCTTTCTACGGCTTCTCTCTCCTCTCTACCGCTTCTCTCTACAAGATCGCTGCACTTTTTTCCTCTACATCCAGACTCTTGCTCATATTTTTTTGAGGTAAACACAAATCACACTCTTGTTTTTGTAGCAAGTTTTTGTGGTTATGGATTTTGTTTTCTGAATGAATTTGGTTATAGATTTGGTTGGTTGAATGAGTTTGGTTGCAGATTTGATTATGGATTTTGTTGGATGTGTGAGTTTTGTTGTGGATTTGATTTTCAGTTTAGGGATTTGGTTATCAGTTTAGGGATTTGATTTTCATCAGTTTAGGGATTTGATATGTGTATGTATATATTCGTCTACATATATATATGTATATATATATATATATATAGTCCCCTTTGCCTCAATTTCCACTCCCTCAAATAAACAGTCCCTGAGGGAGAACAATCCGAATTCCAAAATGCAATTTTCATATTCAATATCTTTAACCTCATTACCTTAAATTTGATATACTTTTTATTACAATTTTGAGTCATGATTTTACTTTTTATTGGAGACAACCCATGAATTTTCTGAGCATTACTTTTAGATAATAATTAAGTCAGCAAAGGTTCCCTAGATTCATGAATATTGCTGATACTTGTGTCCTTCTACAAAACTCATATTTTTTATGGGTCCATCCAAAGGTTGATAAGGTTATGGTGATGAACATCAATTAAATTACAGAATGCAAAAGTAATCTTCAATCACAATATATATATATATATATATATATATATATATATATATATATATAGTTCTCTTGCATTATGTAGTGGCCAAAACTATGAAATTGAGCTCCTAACAGATTCCTAGTTGCTAAAAAAATAATGGTTTTCCCAAGATATAAGTACTATCATATTAAAGCTTGTTTGATTCTTACTGATTTTTTTTTTTTTTTTTGTATAAGATATTTTACTAGTGTTTCTGTATATTTAAAGCTTGTTTGATTTTTAATGGTTGGATTAGCATTATCAATTTGGATTAGAAATTATGTTCAGAGGTGGATTATCTTAGATTTTTGAGGAAGCTCTAGACTGAAACACACATATCATCCTACAATCCTACCTCCTTATTAATTGTAGTTTAAGGGGTGTCTCTCCTAAGAACATCATTTTAAATTAGTGAGGATAGATGAATACAGTTGCTCTAGTTGAAGATAGGTTTCATCAAGAAAGACGATAAATTTGACTCTTAAATTCTTATCAGGATTCATTTTTAGAGTAAAGTGCAAAAAAACACCCTCAACTATGTCTAAATTTGCAAATAACCCCCTTGAACTATGTTTTGTGCATAAAACCTCCTAAACTATCAGATTTAGTTGCAAAATAGCCCATTGTTTTACCTATTTCACATTAAATGACCATAACACCCTTTCTTATTGAATTACACTTGATATATTTTTCTTGTTAAAATAAATTATGAAAAAAATTTATACTAATTTGATGAAATATTCTCTATTGAATTTACATAAGTTTGCCGTTAATTTTTTAAATTAATTATTTAAATAAAAATCTTAAATAGAAAATTTTGAAACTTTTTAAATAATTTATTATTTTCATGAATATATTGCATTAAAAAGAAGTTATTTTTTATTTATGTAATTTATTATTTTTTAATGAGTATTGTTTGAAAAAGAAAATATTTTTGTATACTAATTTTTTTTAAAGTGAGTATAATAAGTTTTATTATAATAAGTTAATCATTTTAGAAAATAATAGCTACAAATTTATTTTTTTTTTCCATTTTCATAATCAATTGATATTAATTAAAAAATTAAGGTAAATGGTATAATTAATATTTAAATAAGAGAAAATATAATAATAAATAATTTAATAAGAAATGACAAATTTAATAACAAAAGGTTAAATAGTTTTTTGTGATGGGTTTGTCCTTAATTGTAACAAATCAATAGTTTATGGGGGCAATCTTTAGTTTAGGGGGGTTAGTTGGAAAAAGCCAATAATTCAGGGATTTTTTTTGCACTTTACCCTTCATTTTATGAGGGCAAGTCTTTTGGTGTTTACCTTCCTTCGCTATTTTAAGTTTCACCAACTACAGATTTGAGATTAGTTGCTGTAAGTTCACTTAGAAGTATACTCTAAAAGAATTTTGTCTAAAGAGTATGCTGAAAAACTGGTCATCAGCTCCTCATTTGGTTTGGTGCATGGTATAAGTAGAGCTCAGTAAAACTAGCTCACTAGACCTATGGCATTTTACGAAATGCTTCTATTACATTTTTTTTAATTAATAACTTATAATTTTAGAGTAGAGAATAGTTAACCACATTAAAGATAATATTTGAAATACCTTATTTATCTGTTCATGCTCATGTTTATGCATAACATTGGTCCCAATTTAAATTACAAGTCCTATTAAAACATAATAAATTAAGAGGCAAACAAATCCAAAAAAAATGGGGAATCCATGAATAATTGAATATCAATCATACATAAGAATAATATATACAAGGTGATAAAGATTGAAGTTGAAGGTCCATTTCTTGAAGTTGAAGGTCTAACAAGACAAAAAAAATTTATGGAAAACTACACTTAAGTAGTGTTAGGGATTCTAAATTACAAAGTGGTCTATTTTTAAAGTCAAGTTTTCACTTTAGTCGAATTAGGTAAAATAATTATGCATACATTGAAAATTCATATTTATGTCTAAAATGCCCTCTAAGCTTTCATTTCAAAACATTAAAATATCTTTCTTAAATATAATAATTCATTAATGAGTTTGTTGAGAATTTTCAAAGCCAATGACAATCCTATCTATCTTCTTTCTTCTTCTTTTTCAAAAATTAATGCTTTCTACCTTCTTGTATATTTTCAGACAACGTGATATGTTTGTTTAAGCATACGAAATAGATCAACTTTTGTGGTGGGTTTTTTGCAAGAGTGAATGTGAATTTTCAGTAAAGCGCTAGGGTTTATAGTTTGTACACATCTCCTCTTTTGGGCTAATAATTTGTTTTGATAGGTCATGTTCCTTTGAATCCTTACTCATCTCCTTCAGAATTAGCTTTCGAAGATATTGTCACACAAATATCACCGAGTCTCTCAATGGATTAATCGGAAGCCTCTTGTAACCAATACTTCGAAAGTTCTCCTCAGCGATGTTTACAGAGTCATTCAGACAAAAGTGTCATATGAACTACGTACAACCTCTTGGCTTACATTGAAGATGAAGATGCCACATGACTCATACATAACAATGGAGGCTTTCGTTTGATGGGACTTACGGGCAATTCTCTTCAAAGATGGACAAATTTAGGTGAAATGTGCGTCAGAATATTACACATGCTGAATCTCAACTGAAAAAGACATCAGTCCCATCATTGGTGAATGCAAAACCAAGATGAAATGTTAAACATTTTGAGCAATCAAATGTAAAAAGAAAAGAAAAATTGTTATATATATATATTCCTTGAGGAATGTTGTAGGAAGGTGTGGACTAGAAGCAACTAAAATGGGGAAGTGGCAACAGCAGGGTCACAGCTGCATGAGGCAATGTGCTTTAGGCTAAAAAAACTGCCACTTGTTACAATATTGTAATTGCCTGTATCACTGTGGCCATTTCAGTAGGATAGTCCTTCATACAAAAGGAAGAAGGATAATTCACAATTTTTATACGTTAGATATTCATACGAGTGGAAAAATGATAATTCTTGATGATCATTGCACATTAGAAAACTAAACAAATTATATAATGAATATAATGGCACCCATAAACATAAAAATTTGTTCAAACTACAATTGTTTGCCCTGCTTTGTTTGTGATAACGAGAAATAAAAAGATGAAAATATTTTAAAAATTCTTGAAAGAGCCCTCAAAAAGTCGTTCATAGTGGGTAAGGGGTCCTTCACGCAGGCCTTGGCTAGGAGCCAAACACATAGCATCACTTAAAGGGTAAATCCTCTTCTAAATTAGGATCCATGAATCCCTTCAACCTAATAACAATCTGAAGATTCTTCAAGCCCTCCATCAACAAAAAAACTGATTGAATAATTCAAAATGTTCTCCATCTGCAATAGCCTCTTTAGCTGATAATAACTTATCCAAAACACTTTATGCATACATTTGCTCCTTGACATTAGAGCCACAATCTGAAAAAAATAAAGTGTAAACTTCAATGGACATCCAGAGAGGACAATATAATACATCAGATTAAAGATCATAAATCATATCCAAATTAACTACCTATATATACCAATTGACAAGATTTTCTTTCAATAAAGCTAATAACATAAAGAAATTGAGAGGCCAAGCTGTAGATTTTCTCTTTAGTTTATCCCTTGTTATGTAGATTTTTCAGTCTCAAGCTTATATTATTGTATTTTCTTATTATTACACTAGTTTGTTCATTAGAAAATGAGAAGCCAACATAGATTGATTGCTGAAGTAAAAAGGTTGTGTGCTTTCAACAAAAGGATTATTATGTTAGGCAAGTTGACTATTTTCTAAGGGAACAAATCCATTATTCCATTTTGGTAAAATTTAAAAGTAAAACTAATTCTAACAAATTAAGAACCAAATTAAACAAGTAAAAATGAATTAGATAGTTGATAATGATAACTTTAAAAAGTGACAAGCGCAATTATTCATCATAATTTAAACACCTTAAAAAATTCAATTCAGTAAATTCAAACAAGTGACATGCTTTTTGAAGAGAAATGATCAACGACCAATAACTTATCCTGGCAGTGGTGCTTTGCAATTCCGCCGGTTGTGTCCTGGTCCACAACATCAAGAACAATGTAAAGTAATTTTGTTGTCCTAAAATTGTGACTCAATCCGTTTTGTACGAGGCCTACTAGGAGGGCACCTAACAGATGGAGGCCTAAGAGAACTAGATGCAAACTCATTGTTCAACACCTTAATGGATAATGACATTGTGCTATCAATTTCATCCGAAAGTGGCATGTCATGGGCTGGAACTGCTGACATAACTTCCTCATACATTGCTTGTTGCTTTTCAACCCTTAAATATAGATCAACCATGTCATAAATATTAAGAGAGTATGCCTCTATAGCACAACATGTGTGTGCAAATGGGATACCAGTCATAGTCCATTCCATACAACTACAAAACGATTTTTTTTTTAATACAACCTTAAACCCCGATTTCTTTAAGTCATAAACTATACACTCTGTATGACCACATGGCATGCATAAAAAACCATGTGAAGCTAGTTGTTTCTTCTTCATTTTATCTTCAACATTCGGTCCAACTAGATTTTACCACCTTTCAGTTTCTAACTTGTTTCTGTATAAAAATTCAGTTAGTACCATCCATTAACCTCATAATCGGCAGTAGTTTTTGCTCTTTAACCTAACCATTAAATGATTCTGCTTGGTTTGTGTACAAGGTATCCCAGCGCGACAACTGAAAAAGAGTATTGGCCCAATATTCAGGTCCATTTCCTAACACCCAATCATGCAACTCCATCCGAAGCCAGCCATTTTTTGTAATGTTTTTTCATATGTATCTGTTGTTCTTGCATAAGCAATATTATTAAGTAACTCCTTTACTGTATCCTTAGATCCACCCCTTATTTTCAAACTACTCTTACTGTTCATAAATTTGGTAAAATTCTCCATTAGGTGCCGAAGACACCATGAGTGACATTGTGAACCAAAGACATCTCTTATCCCACTTATTAGGCTTGGATGTCTATAAGTCATGATAGTTACAACGCGATCTCCTATGATTTGCTTCACTTTTTGTAAGAACCACAACCAATCTTCATCAGTTTCCCCAGAAACTATAGCATAGGCCAAAGGATACAACCCATCATCAGCATCACAACCAGTGGCACCAAGTAATGTGCCCTTGTAATTGCCACTTAAGTGGCAAGCATCAATCGATAAAATAGGCCTACAACCGACTTCAAAGCCTTTTATCGAGCATCGATGTGATACAAATAATTGCTTAAATCTTCCTTCTTCTATGCATGTTCATTCAGCAATAGTGCCCGACATAGATTCCTTCAGTTGTTGACACATCCAACGAACCAACTTATAACTATCCTTTGGACTCCCATCAATGGCCTCTTTTGCATGCTCCTTTTGTTCTCCAAGATTGTATGTAATTTATTTTAATTGTGAATTCATTCTCAAAATCTTTGCCAATTTGGTTGGGCAAATATGAAGGGGTTTCTCGAATCTTATTCATCACAATTCTTCCCAACTCCTTTGAACGTACAATTGGCTTGAAGTTACTTACATCTTGTATAGTATACATCTGAACATTTTAAAATCTTTTCACCCTTACCACATCTGATTCCCCTTCACATCCAGCTGTTAATTTCCATGAACAGTTGTCAACCTTGCACTTGATCCTATAATATGCACGACTATTATTCATGTACTTGAAAGCAAAATGATTTGTGAAAACAAATAGAGTAATTGCCTCTTTAAAGGCGTTTGAGCTTTCAAATAATTGTCCTTCCCTTTTAAGTTTTGGAACATGTCTACAAGTATTTTGACACAGGTCATAATCAGATTCTTGCATAATGGTGCCAACGATGTTATTGCTCAACAACTAAGATTTGTCACGGTCTTCATTTATTATCCTACATAACATTCACAGTATAAGAATAATAAAATATTATTTACTTTTAAAAAATAAAATAAAATAAAAAGCATATTAATTTTTAGTAGGATCATGAATTACCTCAAGGCAATATGATTACGAAAGGATTTTAGCCCAGCAACCATTCCATCATCAATATAAAACATTAATTGTGTCGTCAATTACTAGAAACATTGCCTTCATACTAAGATCATTGGACAATCGCAAAAGTTCTGTCTTGTCTGTTTTGCTAGTATACCATATTACTTTCCTATGAAAATCAATTGAAAATTGTTGGCACAATATTTCTTTGAAGGCATCATACGTCATATTCGTCTTTATAACAATAGTCGCCTTAACACTACCTATATACATAATGCTACTATTTTCTTTTATTTTTTCTCCACCATAGCAATAAAAACAAACAACATCTCTGACTTCTCTTTCCATATCTAATTCAAGGTTCTCTACCATCATAATCACAATAATAAAAAAAAATAAAAATAAAAATAAAAAAAGAAGAAGAAAGAAAGGAAAAACAACATTCAGTCACCAGATTTTCTACTAATATACATTTAATGCAAACAAAACAAAAACAAGAATCCAATTACTAAAAACACCAACAAACCCTTCAAACCAAAAACCAAAGTAAAATTAATAAGTCATAGCAAAACATTTGACCACAAACCCAATTCTCTATATCCCAAAATTAGCTTCAATGTCTATCATGGATCCTCACGGAATACAACTATGATCATTTATTTATTTCATAGGATTAGTGACGTTAAGTCAAATGTATAAAGTCCAATGTATAGCCTAAAAATAGATTACACTATACGATAAAAGGTTCAAAGTACAGTAACAGAAAATGAGAATATTAAACAAAAATATCCATATAATCTGTTCAAAGTGATAGTATGTCTGTATAGACCAGGTTCATAAAGAAAAAAATTCAAAAAAATAAACCCACCAAGAGAAACTTATATTGTTTTGTTAAGAACACAAAATGTATGTTATTTCTATCTATTGTACTTGTCTTTCACTATCAAGAAAATGATTATCTTTACTATAAAGTCATGAAAAGAGCTATTCCATGCACCAGTAAGTCATATTTTGTTAATAAGATTTAATAATTTCAAAGAATGTTTAGTTTCTTCAATTGGACATTTAATCAAACAACTGATTTGCACACAATTTCTCCTCAAATACACGCAACATATACATCTTAATTGCATACACCAGTAAGTCATATTCTCTTAATAAGATTTAATGATTTCAAAGAATGTTTAGTTTCTTCAATTGGGCATTTAATCAAACAACTGATTTGCACCCAATTTTTCCTTAAATACATATAACATATACGTCTTAAATTACCATCTTTATAAACAAAGCCTCTTGCTTTAAAAAATGAAAAGATTATTCTATAGATAGAGAAGACCTAAAACTATATGTATAAACATGTAAATTGAATATATATATATATATAGAGAGAGAGAGAGAGATAGAGTATACCGTGTAAATTAAATCAAGTTTTGTATCATGTTGCAAATGAATTTGATTTCATCCTGTATGATCTCCTGGATTTTCTTCACTCACGCAAACCCTCCCCTTCAATCGTACAGAAATCAATTAATTGAGTGAAGAGATTATATTATTTTACGAGGACAATTTAGTATTTTAGAATAAGAGTTTAAGGACATTTTAGACCTAAATAATAATTATTTATCTAAATGTAATTATTTTTCCTAATTCGATCAAGGCGAAAACTAGACTTAAAAAATAGACCACTTTGTAATTTAGAACCCCTAACTCTACTTAAGTGTAGTTTTCCCAATATATATATATATTGGCTTGTTATTCAGTACTTTATG